GACAGGGGCATCCGGGTTGAAGACGACACCAGATTTCACTCGGCCCATGTGGGACACAGCCCATGCCCCAAACTCCGACACCGGCACGTCCGGGTGTGCCACCTCCTGCGAGAAAGACGGCAAGATGATTAGAAATCAGGCAAAATTGAGCGTTAGAATAGATAAATGACATCTCGTACAAGTGCCCGCTTGAATGCGGGGAGGTTGCGGCTGCCTTGGTGGTGAGTTGGAGCGGTCCTCAGTGCCGCTTCCGCTTGCCTTGCTCGCTTTTGCGATGTGCGCGCGGGTCAAGGTACTGTCCACGATCCTCGACCATGCCGATCTATGCGACATGCACCACGAGGCCGGCACCTACACATCATCAAGTGTTTGACATATAAGAAGATCAATTCTAGACCTACTAAATCTCAAAATGAATTAATATTATTCACCTACCTGAAGGTACTGCTCCTTGGTCAGCGCCACATTTCTTGCGCCGGTTTTGTTGAGGGGCTCTTTCTTGAGTTATCACTAGTAGTCGACGTGGGCCTGGAGTCGTGCCTCGTGAATCATGTCGCCGACGTACTTCTTACAGGCTCTGTGTGCCGTCTGATCCGCCAGGGTCTCTCTACCTTCTTCGGCCTTGAAGTACCTCTACATACAAACACGATGTATCCATTCATTATTTCAATAAAAGACTTAAGCAATAGAGGAGATGTATTGAGCTATGTTGTGAGACACTTACCCAAAAGTCCGCCAAAACCCGCTCCTGCTTGTTGTCCTGCTCGTCATCCGATTCAGGGGGATGACGAACACGGGCCAACATGTGTATGGTGCAGCCATCATGCCATATGGATTGAACCCATCTGTTGCCAGCGCGACACGTACATTACGAGCCTCCTCTGCTTTGAGAGGATCTTTGCAAATTGAAGTACTTCCATGCATCAAAGCATCGGATGGATGTACCATCTTCTCGGGATTGTATCGTGTGTGTTTTTTGTGCCATGTCATCATTTCGCGGATTCCTCGGTCATGAATAGCCGTTGGAGCCTCGGCAGAGAACGGAAGGTGTCGTAGGACTCTCATGGGGATCTTAAGTTGCCTCTCTCGGCCATCGCTTTGAGTCTACCTCCACGTACCTGGAGGATTTACACTTCGGGCAGTACTTTGCATCCGCGTGTTCTTTCCTAAATAGGACGCACCCCTTCGGACACACATGTATCTTGTCATACGGCATCTTAAGTGCAAGAAGAAGCTTCTCTGACTCGTACAAGTTCTTTGGCATAATGTGTGTCTTCGGTAGCATATCGCTCCACACGGCCACCATCTTGTCGAAGCCTTCTCGACTTAGGTTTAACTCGGCCTTCAACCCCATTACTGCGACCAATGGCGTCCAAGCGAGAAACATTAGTATGATCATGAAGGGGTCTACGTGCGAGTCCAACATCGGTAGAAGGCATCTCTGGCAGCCTCCATCTCCTCCTTGTCACGTCCTTCAATTGAGCCCGAGCTTGGTGCGTGTCATCCGAAGATGTCTGCTACCCGGCATCATCATCGAAAGCCTCGAGCCGTGGTCTCACCACCTCCTCCACGATCACGATCGGCTTCACCATGGTGGATCCACCGGTGGTAGCCGGAGTAAATCAAACTTCACAATATGTTTACCCATGGTTAACCTATCTTTCCTTCTTCTGTTGTCACAACCATTTGCGCGGACAAACCACTAGAGAATGGCCTCGGCACTCTCACCAAATGCATGCTGTAAGAATTCTTCGACCTTGACTATAAACAGCAAGTCGTAATCGTGCTCGTCTCTCCGGAGCGTGTACATCCACTCACGGTCCTCCATCCTTTAACAGACGTATCAGCACATATGAGTCACCATTAATTGCATCTACGCGGTGTCCCTACTCTCTAATAGGTGAGGATAGGTCCTAATCCCACCCGTGGATCCATAGATGAGGTTAGTTTCCATGCTCCGCTCCTATCTGAGACGGAATTTCGGCAGCACCTCCCTGCTGTTCTCCCGATACACGTCCTGCAAGGGAGAGTGTGTATCCGGAGAACAACAGGGGGTGATGCCGAAACACCGTCTCGGACCGGAGCGGACCATGAAAACTAACCCATCTACGCATCCGCGGGCTGTCCAAAAAACGTGGACAATCCGAAACAGAAATGCTCGCAGATATGCAAAGATCTGCATACCTCCAAAGATATCTCTTTCGGACGGGAGACGCCTAACTAGGCTACACCGATCTACGACGACAGACAAGCGGAAAAAGAGATGATTTATACCTAGGGTGTCGGTGAAGTCAGGCTAGCGAGGCAGTGGCGAGTCGACGCAGTGGCGAGGCGACGTAGTGTAGGCAGACCCGCGACGCCGACAAAAACGATCGGGGACCTCCGGGTCACCTCCGATAGGTCCTGCTCTACGAAAGAAGAAACACGACACTATAAGTTCAAAATTTCGGCAGCACCTCCCTTGCACGGGGAGGTTTCCAAAACCTGCAAAAAAACAGCGGCACGAAGGCCGACATCACAACGGCACGAAGGCCGACAAACGGAGAAAGGGTGGATATACCTTGCCCACGCTCGTAGGCTGTTCGGTGACGGTAGGGGCGTCGACGGGACGGGCACACGGAGAAGACGGCCGAGGCACCTCCTCCTCCCCTCTACCTCGGCTTCCTCCCCCTCTCCCCTTCTCCTCCTCCTTCCTCTCCTCCTCCTTCTTCCTTTTTCTTCTCTTTTTTCCTTCTCCTTTTCTTCCTTTTCCTTTTCTTTCTTTCTCTTCTTTTTTCTTCCTTCTTCTTCCTTCTTCTCCTTACTGCTGCTTCCTCCTCCTTCTTCCAAGCCCGGCGGCAGGCGGGCGCGCAGGGGCCGGCGTGGGGGGAGGACAACCCATGGTGTGGCATGGCAGATGGCGACGTGATGACGGCAATGTGTGTGTGTGTGTGTGTGGCAGTACTGGGGGTACTCGGGGTGGGGGCGTGTGTGGCGAGGGCTCGCCGGCGTGGGTAGCTTGAGAGGAGAGCGCAGCTGGTGAAAGTGCTCGAGGAGGGGCGCTCTGGTGGGGCTCGCCGCGGGGCGTGTGCGGCATGGGGAGGCCTGTGTGGCTGTGTGTGTGGGGTCCTCGAAGCGGGGCTGGGAGCATGTGGGCTGGGGTGCTCGGGGGGTCAGGCCAGGTGGTGGCATGCTGGGGAGCCATGTGGCAGGCAGGGTGCTTCGGGGAGGGGCCTGTGATGGCGAGGGCTCGCCGGTGGTGGGTGTGAGCGGGCAGGTGCTTTCGGGTGGTCTCGCCGGCGATCGTGGCATTGGGGAGAGCCCGGGTGGAGGCTGCTTCGGGGCGTGGGTGATATGGGGTCTGTGGCGTGCTAGGTGTGTGAGCGTGCATGGTGTGTGTGTGTGGCAAGCAGGGAGGGCCGGCGCCCGGATGAGCAGTGACTAGGTAATCTTTGGGGTGGGGATTTTGGGCGGCGTTTTTATTTAAAAAAAAAATTTGCCGAGTGTAAGCCCCTTGAGCACTCGGCAAATTTTTTTTAATTTTTAAAACTTATTTTGCAGTGCGGCGTCGGGCACTCGGCAAAAAAATTTTTATTTTTGAAAATCAGCTTTTTAGAGTGCTTTACAGGCGGCATTTTCGGCAAAACCCACTTTTGGAGTGCCCCCATGGCATCTTTCGGCAAATTTTTTTTTGATTTTGGGCCTTTAAAATTTTTTACGTGGCCTTGTGATGTGATTTAAAACTCTATTTTTAAAATTTGGGGCAATTTTGACTTTTTGATATATTTCATAAGTTTATTTCGTTTCGTCTAATTGTTTGGGATATTTCAAATTTAAGCTGAGATTACATGGAATAATGGACTTTGGTCATCCAAAATTGATACTCATGATATTTAGGGTATGTTTAGACCGTATCCGAGAAAGTCACATGAAATCTCGAGTATCTAGTTGGCGTAACATGTCGATGTACTTAGGAAATGTGATTTTAAATTATATAAAATGCAAGCGAAGTTAGAAAATCATGAAACTTGTCGGCGTCGTGTTATCACATGTGGAGGCTGTGGTAAAAAATTTTAAAGGTTTGAGCAAATTGTTAAAATAGAGTTTTGGACAACATACAAAAAAATTTGGGCCCAAAAAAAAAATAAAATTTGCCGAAAGTGCCATGGGGGCACTTTCAAAAAGTTTTTTGCCGAGAGTGCCGCCTGTAAGGCACTCTCGCAAAGCTGATTTTCAATAATAATTTTTTTTTGCCGAGTGCCTGACGCTGGCACTCGGCAAAATAAGTTTTAAAAAATTAAAAAATTTTTTTTGCCGAGTGCCTAAGGTTTACACTCGGCAAAATAAGTTTTTAAAAATAATAATAAAAAAATTTGCCGAGTGCCATCCGTTAGGCACTCGGCAAAGTCTGACGGCAGATGCCCGCCGTCACGGGCCGGCCACCTTTTGCCGAGTGGGACTTTTGCCGAGTGCCGCGGCACTCGGCAAAGCCTAGATTTGCCGAGAGCCAGGCTTTGCCGAGTGCATGGCGCTCGGCAAAGCCACCTTTGCCGAGTGCTTGATTTTGCCGAGTGCGGCACTCGGCAAAATTTTTCTTTGCCGAGTGTCCCGATAAAAAGCACTCGGCAAAGTCTCAGCCACTCGGCAAAGTACAGTTTTCCAGTAGTGATTAATCTCAAACAATGAGTTTTGAGATGGGTCCTTACCTCAATGATGACATGTCCAGCGGGAAGTATGAACTTGCAAGCCATGCACATGAATAGCTAAACAAGGAAACCTTCTCTGCCCCCACGCAGAACAGCTACCCATGAGGCCATGAGCACCAAAAAATTCCATTTTTTTAAAATGCATTACACAGCTTAAACCTTCATGGATGTCCTCCTACATAAACCCCTATAAATACCCTCCATGGCAGCCCTAAAATAACAACACAAGCAAGCAATCACAGCTTCTCAACCACCTCTTGCTCTCTTGCAAGCTACTAGCTCATAACTCAAAAGCTTGTGAAGCAGCTCAGTCAGATGGGCAAGGAGGTGGACGTGTCCACTCTGGAGGCCGGCGGTGTCCGTGACTACGCGGACCCTCCGCCGGCACCGCTGATTGACATCGACGAGCTGGGCAAGTGGTCCCTGTACCGCGCCGTGATCGCTGAGTTCGTGGCCACGCTGCTGTTCCTCTACATCACCGTGGCCACCGTGATTGGGTACAAGCACCAGACGGACGCGACGGCGTCGGGGACGGACGCGGCGTGCGGCGGCGTGGGCATCCTCGGCATCGCGTGGGCGTTCGGCGGCATGATCTTCATCCTCGTCTACTGCACCGCCGGTATCTCCGGTGGCCACATCAACCCAGCCGTCACGTTCGGCCTCTTCCTGGCCCGGAAGGTGTCCCTGGTGCGCGCGCTGCTGTACATGGCCGCGCAGAGCCTCGGCGCCATCTGCGGCGTCGCGCTCGTCAAGGGATTCCAGAGCGGATTCTACGCGCGCTACGGCGGCGGCGCCAACGAGGTCAGTCCCGGGTACTCCACCGGCACGGGGCTCGCCGCCGAGATCATCGGCACCTTCGTGCTCGTCTACACCGTCTTCTCCGCCACCGACCCCAAGCGCAACGCCCGCGACTCCCACGTCCCGGTAATTGTTTTGCTGCACACTCCTTTGATCTGTGTGATCCTGCCCATTGCAAGAACTTGTGCTGTTGCATTGCCTGTTGTTGTATTGATGAACGAGATTATCATCAGGTGTTGGCGCCGCTTCCAATTGGATTCGCTGTGTTCATGGTGCACCTGGCGACGATCCCGATCACCGGCACAGGGATCAACCCGGCGAGGAGTCTCGGCGCCGCCGTCGTGTACAACAACAGCAAGGCTTGGAGCGACCAGGTATCACATCTCTCTCCCTAGTCCCTGCACACATTGTCCAAGATTGCAGCACTAATTCACACATTTTTGTTGGTTCTTGCTGCAGTGGATCTTCTGGGTTGGTCCGTTCATCGGCGCGGCAATCGCAGCGCTATACCACCAGATCGTCCTCCGCGCCAGCGCCAGGGGCTACGGCTCCTTCCGGAGCAACGCCTAGGCTCACCTCGTCTTGGTCAAACATCCACGGCCAGCCGGGCCGTGACTGAGCGCTCCCTCCCCCTAGTTTAAGTTGAACGGAGAGGGAGAGCACAGCCGTGGTTAATGCAGTAGCAGTAGCTTTTCAGTCAGGTCAAGTGTTTAGTTGCTGGCAACGGCAGCTAGTGCAAGTGTTTGTGCGTTTTGTGCTGTGGAAAGCAAGTGTGACTTCGCCAGCGTCTGTGTACCCTGTTTGGTTGCAGTCAATTCAATTTAATAAAGACAGAAATGCAAGTGATGGGTAAACTGAGAGCGCCGTTTTTTAGAAGTACCAAAAGTCACCGTTTTTTAAAGTACCAAAAGTCACGCTTGTTTGATTATAGGTAAAGCTACATCTCACTCGAGTGTTGGAACACTCAGATTCTTCTTTTCTCTTCCTCTCTCTCTCCGGCACCTCCTTCTTTTCTTCTCCATCTCTAGCGGCCTTAGAAGAAATCTTTGGAGAGGCAGACGGTGCGGATGGGAGAGACGGCGACGAGGTGGAAGCGGCGATGACGCCACCGGAGCGGGCGGAGGAGGAGGCGGCCGTGCCAGGTTAGGGCAGGGCGATCATGACCATGACGGCGGTGGGGGGAGGAGAAGATGGAGGTCACTACGAGCGCGGTAGGGTCTCGCTGGAGCTCCACGACCGCGCCGGTGAGACCCTACCACGCTACGGTGGGGTGGTGGGTGGCGACAGCACGTCGGCAGGAGGAAGAAGGTGTGAAGAAAAAACATCGAGTGTCCTGGACCTCCAAAACACTCGTGTGATGCATAGACATATTCTTTGATTATTACCCTTACACTCAATCCAGGTCTCAACCTATTTGTTAAAACTTTGCCTTCAACTTTAGGAATCAGAAGCTTGCCTCCAGAGATGTTCAGAGCTTCAAGCCATAGGCTTGTCTTCCATTTGTTTCTTTTTTGATAACTTGTCTTCCATTTCATTATTTGCTCCTAAATCCCAAATGATTTGGTATTTTAGTTAATAATTTTGATTATGATGGACAAACATGACTTCAGACCGGACCAAATAACACAACACATCTTGACTTTAACATAAGCAGCCACTCGAAGGGTACGAGGTGTTTTCCCTAACTTCTAAGAGCATCTCTCTCACATTGAATAAATACAATCTCATCTCCCTATAACCCATCATAAAGTGGATTGAAGATAGAAAAATATGCTCCAACAGATCCCCATCCACTAAAAATTTTGCTTAATCCCTTGAAACCTCTCCTCAACCCCTCAAAGAAAAGGAAACAAGTAGCAATTTTTCTTAATCCCCTTTCTTCCATCCCCTCCCACTGACTATCGGGCCCACTTAGAAAGTTGTGTCATGTTCCGCATCGTGAGCCAAGAGGAAAGATACGGAGAGAAATGAGAGGAGAGGATAAAGACATACAAAAGGGGAATTTTACATGAGCCTCTGACATGTGGGTCCCATATATAAAGGTGATGTGATTTGTTATTTTTCTACGGTGCACGTCCCCTAAAACCATAAAACATATTTTCTCAATCCTCTATAGGAACTATTATAGGAATGGGGAAAGGGGATCTAGTTAATATTCTCTAACAATGACTAGATAATGCAGTGTCCTATATGAACTAGGAGATTGTAAGGATCATGTGTCCATGATCATATCTTTTAGTGTTGATGATTGAGATGACAACATAAGTTAGAAACTAGCATGTGTGTTGAAATTGTGTTAGATAGGTTAGATCCAAATTATGACAAGAATTCCCTAAAGACTCCTTGTCGGGGTTATGATACCCCGGGTATCTTAAGACACCAATTAGTCAGCCGCTTAGGCGGCTCACGGTACATGAGTTGGTATAAGCATGAATGACCGAGGCCCAGCTAAGCTATGTGGACCTGGGCCAAGCACTAAGGTAGGGGTTGGCCACGACCTCTTCTCTCTGCCTTCACCGCAGGCCGCGCAGCATCACACGACCTCTCCTCCGTCCTGACCCTTGGGAGGGACGGGGAGAGATCGAACTCTGTCAGGCACGCTCGCTCTAACAAAAGTAGGCACACCGCACTGACCCTGCAAGTCCCCTCAACCTGGTCAGATGTCATCCCTGTGCCACACAGCGAAGACAAGACAACACCACCAAGCGGTGGTGGCCAGTATAGTGACCGATCGTCCAAATACAGTCCAATGAGATGGGTGTATGACCCCACCCACTATGGGATGGGGTTCACGACAACGGCCTTGACTTTTGAGGCCATCCAAGCTGTAACACCCTAGTGTTAAGCATTGCATTTCATGAGCACAAGAATCATCCAAGCATTCATGAGCATGAGCATATGAAGTTTCATTTCATTTCGCTTGCGCCCTCACTCCCTTCCTCTCTCTCGCTCTTGCGCTCGCCGAAGTGGAACCACAGCGCTGCCGTCGCCGCCATACCTTCGCCGAGCTCACTCACTGCCGCCACCGTGCCATTGTCCGATTGCTCGTGCGCACTGCTCGACCATCACCTCCTCCACCTCACCGACCACCCATTGCCTTAACCCGAGCCAAGGTAAACGCCTAAGGGCGAGTTCGCCATAGCCGCACCCTCGCTGGAGCGTCACCGAGCTTACGCTCATCGTGGCCGTGCTCCACCGAGCCATCTCGCTCACGCTTTTCTCTCATTAGGGTTAGCCTAGGCTCACGTCTAGCTCACGCCACTGGCTGTCGAGCCAACGCTGGCACACCGGCGCCGAAACGCGGTTGCTCACCGCCGTGCTCTCGTCGCCACCATGCCATGCACACGGCCAAGCTTCATCGCCGCTCCACCGCCACCCTCACCTAACCCTAGGTCTTCACTAGGTAGCCCTGAAGCCTCAGCAGTGCTCGCCTTGGCTTGCCGTCATCGGAGACGACGAGCCCGCCGAAGCGCAGCGCCGCTACCCGCCATGGCCGCCGTCGAGCTAGCTTCGGCGAGCCTCTGAGCCAACCAAGGGCACCCGTAGATGCGGAATGGGTTGGGGAACACGTCGGGGGTGATGCTACCGCCAGTGACCTCGCCGTCGGCGAGCTTTTCACCGGTCAACCGTCGCCTCTGCCTCGGTCTCACTGGCATGTGGGGACGGGTTGACCTACGGGCCCCCACTATCAGCCACCGTGAGTGTAGTAGACTGGGTGTACGTAGCATTTAGGGTTCAGTTGTTTTTTGAATTAATTTCACAGATTTGAATACAAACTTCAAAAATTCATATATGGAGCTAGGAGTATCCAAATGGGGTGAACCAAATTTTGTTAGATTCATCTTGAAGTGTACTATTTGATAAAAATATGAAATCTACTGCTTAGGGTATTTTTCTAGGAGAATTCAATTGAGCAATATAAGTACTTTATATCTTATAAAATGCATAACTTGAGCTAGGAAAGTGATAAAATTATGATTCTAATTTTGCTGGTCTTGTGTTGACATACTCTAGCTAGAAAAAATATTAAATCTACAGTAAACATACTTTTAATATGGTCTTCCTATTTAATCTTAATTAATTGCTAGATTCTAGTGAAATTAATTGGGGTAAAAATACATAATATATGATCATATAAATTTTTATATAGTATTCTAATGCTAGTAGGAAAGTAAAAAAAATATTAAATCTGTTACTTGACACTTTTCACTATACTAAACTATTTTTGCTAAAATAAGCAAATGTAACTTGTCATTTTTGTAAAGGTAGCTATACTTGTCCAAATGGTATGAAATTTGTACAGTAGACTATTAGGGTCATGTGTAGCCTATTGTAATTTTCTCTAAATTTATTAAGCACTGGAAATATTTACTCTGTAAATCACCTTATTATCTAAGGAAATTAATAAATGAATATAAATAAATCACCTTATTGAGAACACTTATGAGGATGCATTCATCATATCATATCATATTATATATGTCATTATATATGCATCCATGATATCTTATTTCTTGCTCATGCATATAGGATCGTCCGAGGGGATAACTCTATTGGAATTCGATGAAGAGCAGGAGGAACAACAGGAGGCACCTCAGGCCATAGCTCTAGAAGGAGAGGAGCAAACTCTTGAAGATCTACCTGAGTGCCCGAATCATAGGCCAACTTCTTTTATCAAAGGCAAGCCCCGGAGCATTTTAAGCCTCCCATGTTTTAGAAAATATCACTTGAATCTTTTATGTTTGATGCATTAGGTTATAAGAGTGGGTTGGAAACACTTGATGCATAGAACTACCTTGTCCAGATATATACCTTTAACCCTGTGTAGGTCCATGATCGAATATATGCTTAGCCATGCTTAGACCGGTAGAAGTCAGGTGATTTCCTATCACCTGCGAGATATAAGTGGATACCAAAGCACAGTTGGCTATATTTGCTATCATGAAACAGAACCATGGGGTAATGTAACTGGAGGCCGGGCGGAGTCTATGTGTGGGTTGACTCATATGATTCTGTCTGTACCGATTAAGGACCGTACCATTGTTGGCGACTCTGTCGAGATTGAATGCATGCCTCTCACTTAGCTGGCCGGATAACTCGTTTCGACCGCGAAGCCGAGTAGCTCAACTCAGGCCGGGCCCTGTTCTATGAAAGTGCGCACTCTAGGTGGTAGTAAGGATATGCGGGGAGCCAGACGTGAGCCCAAGGGCAGGCCAGGCCTAAACGTCCTGGCAGCTGGTCGTCCCTGGTTGTGCGGCGCTAATCGAACCCGTGAAATGTGGACCTGAGTTGTACCAAAGGTGACCGTTGATCTGGTCTGCCTAGGTTTGCGTTAGGAATAAATTCCCAGCTGGTTGAAATTGATTCAAATCGCCGTCTCTTCCGGACAGTGAGAAACTTTGCTAGTCCCAACATTGTAGTAAGTGTATTATGGAATGATGGTTATGATAAACATGGAATTACTACACCGGCTATGGTTATTATTTTTATGCTACTAAATGATATACCACATGTTTGACATAGGTTAGTTGCTAATCTAGAGATGAATAGCTATAATTAACTTGATGACA